ATTGATCAAAATTTCGTCTTTCACGGGTGTAAGGGGCATTTCCGCGAATTTACTGTGATTTCACCTTGACAAGGGATATTTACTCTCTTTATATGTTACAGATTTATGGCATTCTACCATGGGTACTAGAAGGTACTCTTCAAAATGTCTTATGGTAAATATTTTTAAACAGATGTACATGTATTTTGTGCTATTTTAGTTGACTTTTTCCAATGTTATGTTATCGTATTGGGTCGAATAATCGACCCACATCATACTCTACACCATTCGAAGAGGTACATCTAGGCAACATGAAAACAGTAATATTTTATATTCGAACGAAGTTTTATTTGCCTAGGCAGATGTTTTACATTGAAACTAAATGTGAGTCTTTTTTATTTTCTACTTGTGTTGGCTTATACATTAAAACTGTTATATCTCAGAAACAGAACACAAAATTTTAAAATAATTTTTTGTACACCTAAAACTTAAGTTTCAGACTCTAACGAAGAGGTTTTTGTTGAAAATTGAAAAACATAAATCAGACCAAATGTCTGGGTCCTTAAAGCATATTGCGTTGTACACATTCAGATGGTACTTACTATGTGCCAGGTTTGAAGGGAATCGGCTTAAAGGAAAGACAAAAAGCAAAGACTAAAGTTGTGACAAAAAATCATTTCTTTGTGAAGAAACTTTAATTTCCTCAATTGTTAAACAACTGCAGGCTGTTTGAAAACTTGATAATAAATCAGTTGAGGATGTCATGCTGACATCATCCATTTGCAATCATTCTTGTATCAGGATCTTTTTGGCTATCAATTTGATAATGATGAAATATGGCCAAGTTAGCATAATTGTGACTTGAAAACATGAACAAAGTCTATGGGCTATAAACACATACCAGTATGCAAAAAAACTGCTCCTTTAAAGTTGATGTCACATGGTTTGCGGTTTAACTGAAAAATTATTCAGTATCAGTCGTCGTGACCATGGACAACTGTTGATGCGCTCTTGACTGAATGTGGCTGATCAGTGGTCATCCTGTTCATCTTTGGATGACTAGCATCAGTCATTGTTACCATGGACATTTGTCGCTGCACTCTTGACCGAGTGTGGCTTTTTATTTGCCATCCTGTTCATTGATTGATGACCAGCATCAGTCTTCATGACCAAAAACAACTGTTGCTGTTCTCTTGACTGAGTGTGGCTCATAATTGGTCATCTTAGATGGATGACCATTCAGGAACACTCAGTGTGACTACGAAGATTTATTGCTGCACTTTTGACTAAAGTGTGACCAGAATCTGTTATAGTGACTATGGAAAGCTATGGCAGCATTCTGAACTGACTACTTAATCATTTGTTTTCTGCTCCGGCATCAGTCATAACCACTTTGGAAAACTGCTGCTTCATTTTGTACTTGTAGCCAGTGTCTTTGATTATCCTGCACATCAGTTGACGATTATTGTCATTTATCCTAATTACTGAGTTACAGTCTTCAATGAGCATGACTTACAAATTGCAATTCCGGCAATCAAGAGAAAATTGCCATTAACTAATGCTGTCTTGGTGTTATGTTACTGTACCGGTAAGCCCAGAATTAATCATTTAGTCATTGGTCCCTCACATATCCTTGATCCTACTTCCGCTTAATTCCTTGGTAATTAAGATCCTAATGAAGTTCCTGGTTGTGGTCAATTTCAAAGTACTGCCCCCGCTCCCCAAGACTCCTAGGCCATGATTTTACGACCACAGTTTCAGGAAGTTACACTGCCCAGCCTGCATCCCCCCCTACATGTATATAATCACCCCCAAAATGTTTCATGGTCAGTCTCCACGTCTCCACAGTCTCTACTAGTCTTCAACTCTGTCTTCCTCACTAATGTCCAATGATATTACATGTAGTCTGTGTTTTCCCTAATAAAACATCGTCGACCAAGGTATCATTGTGACCGTGTCAGTTCTCCATTTTAACTCAACTCTAATCAGGCCACGCTTATCAACCTGTAAGCTACAAAGTTTAAGCCTTACATTACCACTGTGCCCAAACTAGTGAGCAGTATTTCTTTTACAAGTATACTACTTCAAGTGAGATATAATTAGCACATGAAATTAAGTAGCTTCAGTGTATAGACATCTGGAAAAATTTGCAGGAACTATCACTAATCATTCCTTAAAGGTACATATAGCTGCAATCAATTTGTTTTACCGCCAACCTTCAAATGTACCTTTACGTCTCAGTAACCTTATTTTAGACTTTTCTGTCACCACTTTTTAAAGGGATATTGCTCTGCATTTTTGGTTTGTTTGTTAACTTTATTTTCTTGTTGCTAGTTTTTGTTGTTTGTGTGAAAAACAATAAATGAGCACCCATGTCTTTGTCATAAATGTCTGCAATAAGGAAATTCTTTGTTCACACCATTAACAGGAAAACCTACACACTGATCCCTCTTCCTTGGATGACATCACATATAACAACAATGCTCCAACTTGTGCAGAGGATAATGGATAATTTGAAGTTTGTAAAAAAAAAAGGTGCACTTTTCAGTCTAGAAAACTTTGAAAGAGTTTTCATATTTTGAAAGAGACTGCAGGCTTGCAGAAATATTATCTATAAGAAAAATTATTGCAGGTACATTGTACACTGATAAAATGAAAATGGCTATGAATAAATTAGTGGTACATGTACATACTGATATGGAACAATCTCCAAATACATGTATCTGCACTTGTCAAATGATAAGTATTTACCAGTACCAGTGATAGTTATTTGCTATTTATTTTAATATAGACAATGAGTACATGTATGTACATTGAACTTACTGCAATTCACTGAAAATCAGTGTGTTTTTAGTACTCAGATCAATTCATTTGATCACCATCACTCCTGAAAATCATAACATGTACATGTACATGTAAATGTATCTTAAAGAAAATGTTTTTTCGACATGTTAAGTTAGTCGAACTGATGACGTCATCATCCCATAACGTCAATTTTTGTGTATCACACATTCCCCTCCAGATATCTGTAAAGTTTCATTTCAGTGAGTTATGTATACATGTATTTACTTCAGGAGATATAGGACTTCGAAGTTTGCACATTAAACGCCCTATAATGTGACACCTGATGGCGTCATGATCACAATTTTCTTGACAGACCCTCTCTACTGGTGGACGAAGAGTATGCACGTAATACATGTATATAATCAGTCACATCGATGAAAGTGCTGAAGTCCAGCTGTTGAAAAACGTGTACAAACCTATGGGGAAAACTGAAATATTCAAAAATCCATAAAAAATGAGGTGATGACGTCATCATGACGTCATACTTCGGGGCGCATCTTTGCTATACTGTCGTTGCTTGAGGCAACTCTGATGAAGATTGAACCTTGCAAAGGGTCTAAAGTGCTTCATAGAAAAAACATCTTGACAAAAAGAATGCTTTTTTCGCAAAATTACTAAAAAGCCAAAGACAAAAGTTGTGTTGGTCAACAAACACTGAGCTGTTTCAGGAAACTCTTTTGGTTTGACAAAGAAGAAGATGGAATGGGCAGGAATTAAACAACTGTTGTTAAGTCCACAGTTCAAAATTTCTGTGGGACCACTATCCTCGTTTCTATCATAGAGCAAAACAATATACGCCCACACGCTTTCCCAGCCATGTTTTTGGAATTTGGCTAGACTCCTCCAAAGCAGCAGGCCTCTGTTTATGTACAAAGCATATGGCTCTTACCACGACTCCTACCCGACAAGTCAAGTTGCTGGTATCTTCAAGCACACAGCAAGTTTTCATCAGCTGCGCATAGTATGTATGAATAGTGTAATGAGCCAAACACTTTAGACAATGGATGTACATGTATTGTAGATATTCACTCTAGCTTTCAACAGACAATTGTGGACTTTAGTATTTGGGATTGATATTTTAGCGATTTTTAATGATTTAAAGTCTTTTCATTACTACTTCCTGCCCCATATCATCAGCCCCAAATTTCACATGTTAACAAATCAATTTTCTGGCGATTCGAACTAACTTCACCACAGGCAACTATTCACAGTTCAATTTTCACAATTTTTAAGTTGTTGCTAGTAGAGGGAACGAGACCGATATTGAAACCTTGAATTCAAACAAAAGGATTAAACTTCCGTTTAAGACCAAATTGTTCCCCGAGCATTTAATCAGTACGTTTTTTCTCTGTACAAAATTTAAGCAAATTTCAGATTATCATGGGTTATTTTGCATAAGTGTGACATCATGCATGGTTAATTTACGCACAGATTGGTACACACACAACAAGAAGCCGTCCAAATCATGATCACATTTGTTTTTTGTTTTAATGATGTAGGCTACTTCTACCATCATACACCTATGATGTAGGATAGTGAGACAGATAGCTGGTCTGGTTATTGTGACTGAAGACCAACATCCTGTAGTGTCTATATAAAGAGGCAGGGTTTCTGATGGGGGTCCCATACATCGCGCATAGTTCTTACAGCATTTGATTGGCCGTTAAGGAGAGATACATGTAGCTTGCTAGTTAGCAAATCAAACATCATCTTTGGTTAAAAGAGCCAGTATTTAGTTTGAACGTTCCAAAAACAAAACATTTTCACCACTTTGCATCAGTATGAAAATCCAAACTTGATTTTTGGATGAAGATACAACATACACTGTATATGTACCTTTCTTACAAATTTGATTTAAGTTCCGCCAGTCCTAGGTTTGATCCGATAAAACCTGGTTTTCATGTGCCCAAGTTTGCAAATAAACTTTAATGTCTAATACATGTATCTATTAAAAAGATTTCAAAACACATTGTCTATATAAAGAATATGAAATTGATATCTTAGCTTCCCGTTAAAAAATAACATTATTAAAGACAAAACAAAGTAATACATAATTTCTAAACTTCTACCACCTAGCTCATTACACATGCAGGGTTCAGAGAAGCATGCATACAGGGCTAATGGAAAGGCCTTTTTGATGGCTGCGAGCTTACTGGTTATGTAATACATGAACCTACCTTGGCAGGCTGGACTGAGATGACAGTACAGACATCTGATGTGGATATTGCTTTGACTCTCATGAACTCAGTGTCTGGAGGGAACCTATATGTATAATACTGCCAACAAAGATCACAAATAAATGCAATTTCACATACATGTACATGCACATTAGAGAAATAATGGATAACAGTGTCTCAAGACCACTTTTTGCCGGTCTCTGTTCTGGTCTTGGTCCCAATAGCTGTGGTCTCTGTCATGGTCTCTGTCTCCTTAGGTTATGATATTATGGCTGGTCTTGAGTCGAGATCAGCAATAAGAAGCATATTTACATGTCATAATATTGATCAATTACTTTGTGTTTGCTTCGCTACATTGCTTCATCAGCGGTTGCCCCATCCCATTGGTACATGTATTTGTAGAACCATTTGCTAGCCAGTACATTATGCTGTCCATTTTGTTTATGACTTGTTATACCATTAGGAAGCTTGGACTGCACATTGGAAAGTTTTTTCATTTGTTTTATTTTTTTTAATTCATCAGGAATGAATAAAATAAATAAAGTTGTCACCCACTACAGAAGTACCATGCAAGCAACCAAAGGGAATGTACATGCAGTGGATGACCGGCTTATCAAGATGAGCTACTTGTGGTGGGATGTGCGTACATGACATGTACACTTGGGCCAACTGTCTATTCTGTGGCCATGTACAACCAAAATCCCGAATCCAACAATGTTTTATGGCAAATCCACGATAATATAGTTTTTTTCGGAGCTTGTCTTCGAAAGAACAAACTTTGAGTCCGGGGGAGTGAGTATGGTGAATGAATCAGACCCGGTGCGCTGCACGCACAATTAACCAATCAAGGGCTGCATTATGCGCATGTATGTTTCCTGCGCAGGCCAGTTTGCGCGCGAAAATGTCACATTTCCTTCGGGTCCACCACCATTGCCGCACATAGAAAAAATAAGCTTACGGTTACTCGCTGGAAAGTCGTAATAAATCTGCTGTTCCTGAGCCTAGTGACGGCTAGTCGTTTCTTAGGATGCCGCGAGGGAGAGGGAAGACGCGGAGAGCGCCAGAGGCCTCCGGGAGACCGTCAACGACGAAAATTTCCGTCACGAGTGGGACTAGTAGCTCGGCAGCTCCGCGACACACTCGCGCTCAGGCGCGTGCAATTCAGACACTTCTCGGCCCTCAAGTTCTTGCGGACAGCAGCGGGGTTGCACAGCGCCCTCCTTCGATGAGACAACAGCCGCCGGTCTCATGCTCTGGAAACGCTTGCGTTCAGCAACTGCAACCTTCGACTGGATCGACTTTGACGGCGAGTTTGACAGATACCGGAACAGTTGGACCTTCGAATCCGATGGCGGGCGGTATCGCGAGCGCTAATACGGGCGGTCTTGACACTTCGCTCCCAGTTGTGTGTGTTCCCTTGACCGTTCCGGCGACGGCTACAGTCCCCGGCCCAGCTGCACCCGGTGTCAGTTCGCTGCCATGCCAGCCGAGTGGCTTTGCAACCCAGGCGGGGTCTACGGAACACAGGCAGAGAGCAGCGGAAGGTCGGGCAGCACAGCAGCAGGGTTTTCCAGCCATTCCGGCAGGGGGACTGAACCTCCGTGCACCGGGTGAGTCCACCAGCATCCCACTCTCTTTGGGTGGGGCTCCTGTTCGGAATGTGTCAGTAGATAACAATAGCCTAGTAGGGGTGTGCTTGGGTAGCCCCAATGTCTCACTAGGGTCTGGGGCATGTGAGGGCCCTCTGGTTTCTGTTTGCGATCCCCTGGGAGCCACTGTGCCTTCCAACATCAGAGAAAAAAATTGTCAAAAGTGAGTTCATTGAATTAGATCTATTGCTGGAGCATCATATCCCCCCTTCCCTATCCAGTTACATGCTAAGCCTGGATAACTCGGGGCAATTGTGGTTACAAGATGGGAAGAAAAGACCACAAATCACTTCCATATTAGGCTGGACAGATGCATTTCTAGTGTACTCCTCCATCTTTGTTAGTGCTCATCCGGGGAGGGCATTGGAACTACTCAAGTACATGCACACCATTAGAATNTGGTCCCGCTCGGGCTGGTGGCACTCCTGCCACTAGGAAACCCCAGGACGGGTTTTGTTGGCATTGATTTACCTGTGATTACTTAATTGATATTGGTAGTGACCTTTAACCTTTTAACGGGGAAAGGGCCCTTGCGGTCCCGATCGGGCTGGTGGCATTGCTGCCACTAGGATACCCCAGGAATGGGCCTGTAGGCATTGATTTACAGTTAATCACTTATTCTAATTATCGAAGTGACCTTTAACCTTGTTAAGAGTTGTAACAGTTTGATGCTTATTATATGTGCATTGGGTTATTGAGTTACAACCAAACTGCATGCAGTTAGTTGACCTTGTTCACTGTTTCTGCTTATTAAGGCATTAAAATGTTGTGCTTGTTGAGGAAAGGATTGGAAATAAAACTCGGCATGGTGGTGGCCAACCGAGTGGACTGGCAACTCTCTGTTTCTGTGTTTCACTTCCTTCGGAGTCAATAAAGTTTGGTTAAAGATTTGTTGTAAATGTCTCATTTTTTTGCAACAAGAAACAATGATGAAACATGACATGACACATTGTTTACATACACGTAGGTATTGATGGACTTACTTCTTTAAGTTTATTATTTTCCCCATTTCTTTTACCTTTTTTTTTAAGTGGGAGGGTTCAACCTCCCCCCACTGGATCTGCAGAAAAAGTCAGATGTCATACACTTCTCACCAAAATTCTCAAACAACATCAAAATTCTGTCAAAATACTGGTATTATAATAATTAATAAGTTGTACTCACATACTTTTTTAATACTCTACCTTTGGATTTGATGGACTAACCACAAATGTCTTGGGCAAGTGAGTCCTGTAATAAGGTAAAAGCTATGCTGCTGTAACAAAAATATTTATGGTTCCAGTAAACAATATGGTTACTAGATATTCAGGAAAAAAGAGAAATTGTAAATGACAAATTACTCTGTATGTTAGAAATGTCTGACACAACACACTGTATCCACTTACATTCTTGGATTCATTTCAACTGCATGAGTTATTAGTTTAAAAGAATGCAAAAAATTTATGCAATGCCTCTAAAATTTTTCACAAGAGAATCTCTCACTCTTTGAACTCTGGTTTTTTTGGGGTTTCTTTTATTTTTTGTTCATGTACTTACCTGAGTTCAAAATCGCTGATTATACTTATTGACAATGTGAAATGAACCTGCTTAATGGAAGCTGTGGTCACATCAATGCTGATATTATGAGCAGTAGTTGGAGTAAATCCATTTTCTGGACAAAGAGTGTGGCTCACTTCATCATATGTATACCTAGTAAGAACAAAGAAACAAAATACATGTAGTTGTTTGTGGGGATACAAGAAGATGTATGGTTATTATTTTTCAATGCATTGCACCAACTGTTCAGTATGAATATGGCCCGGTAAATGTTAACTGGGAGATTGGTGCATCACACATACTGGTATGCATATACTCATATACATGTACATATACTTGAGTGTACATAGACAGAGTCTTCATCCACATCTGTACAAAATGTACCAGTAAATATACGTGTATGCTATACATGTACATGTAGGTCATTTCATGGCATATCAACTGCTTTCCCAGGTCCATCTCACATGTTTTCTTGAAATTTGCTGGGAATTATTTTGTCATAAGCGAAATGATGTAATGTGGTATGCATTATGGGGCTTGTGTGTTGCAGTTCACTGAATTCTCAGCCTTCCAATCTTAAGTTTCATTGTAACTATGAACTGTCACATCTCAGACTGGGAATATCAGAGGGAGGTGATTTTTATCTTAAAGTTCCTAACCTAAAAAATCATTTTGTTTGTTAATAACAAACAAAAACTCACAATTTCCATACATGTAAAGTCTGGCAGTATTTCCAACTTTGACCTTTGACACTTTTTTAGCCACCAAATTGGTCGTTGTTTAAATTATGCCAAACAAATTCCCAAAGAATGATGTCCATTGTGCAATTGAATATATGGCAGCTCAAGTTTCATTCTATCTGGTATATTGTAACCAATCAAATTCCATGCATTACAAATTCATCTATTTACTTCCCCACATGGTCCGGGTGAACTGGTGTATTGATAATGATAACAATGATAATTTATAAAGCACACAGATCCACCAAGGTGCTCAAGGCGCTAGTACAAAGAAATTAATTAAATGCCTCATTGAAGAGATGAGTCTTCAGCTCCTTCTTAACTGGGATACGGTATAATTTTTTTTTTACGTGGTGGCGGGAGCGTCCTCGCCAGAAGAGACCGTATCATTTCTCAGGGTTGCAGAGCCCCTAGTCGGACCTAAAGGTATGTAAATGCTTCAGTGGTTGTCCCCTAGCTTCTACAGCTCTTAAAAACCACCAAAAGTACATCACAGTACCGTGGGGGTGCCCTTTTCCCAGGCTATCCCGATTTGAGGAGGGGGGCCTCGCCAGCGCCAGCCAAGCCACACCATCACCACAATATCCCCCCCACCAAAATAACACTTCAAAGACAGCCGAAACAGGCCTCTGACAAGTTCCGGACAGCTGTCACTGATAAGAAACATTCCACTGCCTGGCCCGGGCTCTGTTTTCGTAAATAATCCATTATATTGTACACATAGGGCCATTTAACACACAGTCTTATGGGAGTAGGCTGGAGGCTGGCTGGATTTTTTAATCTTTTCTGGCTAGGGGATGCCCTGGCTTTAAAGTGACTAAGCCACGTTTTTCAGCATGAACAGGGGTAGGAAATGATAAATAGTTTTTACATTTGGAAAAAACAATTTTTTTTTACACCTTAATTAGCTCCAGTGGCCTCTACAGGAGAGGCCACTCCCTAGGCCACTCCCTCCATGCAAAGTGACCTCTTGTTTTTCTATTTATTTTTTACCGTGGGGGATCTATCAGTGTCAAATCGCTGTTTTCCACAGGCACCCAGCAATTAAAATCATTAAAAAATCATTAATATTAGCTATGAATTACTAGCCAAATCATTAAAAATCCAATCCACTAAAAGGAAAATACAAATAATATAAAAGGCACAAATATAACTAAAAAACAAGAAAACAGACTATGACAAGTTAGCACAGGAAACTAACAAAAAACAAGGTAAAACTTCAAAAGCAACAAAAACAAGGCTTATGAATTAATGCATGTTCCTAAATGAGTTTTAAAAACCCACTTCAGATGTAGGAACAATAATAATACATTTATATAGCGTCAATCCAATAAAAGCATTAAGCTCTTCTGAGCTTTACAATATGTTATAAAATGAGCTTGCATTTTCATGTGACAAAAAGGTGACACCCAAATGTTTCACTTGTTTCAAAACAGTGATGTAATGACTGCCAATCGACAGGGTGAGTTGAGGAAATTCACTAAGATTACTTTGAGTACCAATGACCAATAACTGAGTCTGATTTAGCCATCCACTGCCTAATATCAATACAAGATTCTTGATGGCTTTAATACATGATTGATGCAATATCATAAGATGTACATGTACATGTACATGTAGGTAAAGCTGAGGCATACAGCATGGTGTCATCAGTATAAAAATGACACTGCAGGTACAGTCCTGATGGCGAATAACATGAGTCAAAGATGCCATGTAAATATTGAAGAAAATTGGTCCCAAAACAGATCCCTGTGGGATACCACACTTGACTGATAAGTAGACAGTCCCTTTTGGCCATGTAAACAGACTTTGACAGTCTGAGAATAGCTAGCAAGCTGCACTCAAATCTAATAAAACTAAGATAACAACTTTGTCAACACTCAATAAGTTGTAATTTTGAACACGGACCAGAGCACCCTCAGTACTGTGATATTTCCGATATGCAGACTTGGTATGGTCATTTAAACCAAACTTGGACATGTGGTGTGTACATGTATGTTGAGGAACAACAACTTTCTCAAGAATCTTGGCACAAAATGGAAAGTTGGTAACAGGTCTGTGATTCTTTAGATTATCAAAGTCACCATTATTGTTACTTTTAAGAACAGAAGTGACCAAAGTTTACATGTGACACATGTATTTCAATTTGTCAGGAACAACACCATGATTAATCGAGGATGCACGTTATGATTGAAACATCAATGCCAATGCATGATTTTAACAGATGGGCCAGAATGGGATCGAAATCACATGACTTAGGAGACAATCGACGAATCATTTCTTCGATTTCAATAAATGAAATGGTAATTAATGAAAGTTCAAGTTCTGGAGAAATAACAGATGAACCAATGTCACGAAAATCAAGACTTAAGGAAGAAACATGATTCACTACTTCCTCCCACTTAATCTGTCCATCAAGAATCTTCTTTAGAAAAAAATGACTAAACTGTTGAGCAGTATCATTAGCTGTACCATCTTAGGAAATTCAGAGGCTTTCTTCCAACCAAATAAGTTATTCAATATCCTGGAAAGACGGTTACTCTACAATATACAATTAAATTTCTATAATAAGTTCCGTTAGCCTATTAGTAAGGCCATTTCCAGACTGCCTGAAGTTTCAATGTCAGTCAAAAGGATCCACCAAGATTATGAATAAACTTGTTAGATATGACTAAGCTCTGATATTACGAGCAGACCCCCCTTGGGAGCTTCATGGCCTCATGAATAGCATCCCGGTAAATTAAAGAATGATCCCTAATTGTCAGTGATAAAACCCCATTACGTGAGTATATACTGGGACTGGTGATCCAGACTTAATCTATGTAATGATAATGGGTGTTAACTGCCTGCATGTCATTAACCCACTTACTTTCTTCCACTTCCAGTCATTAGGTTTAAGCAATCACAGTGGAAATCACCAAAACAGATCATTTCTCCATGTGTTGCTGAAGCAGCACAGTGTTCGATAACATAATCAAGCATTACAGATAATAACCGCATCTATTAGGGTGAGTATTAGGTAAACCTAGTGTCATCCATAGTGTTTCCACTTTGGAATGTATGAGATTACTTAGATGGAACTAATTGAGGCATAGTCTGTCATGGACATACATGTACATGTAGATCACCACACCACCGTATCCATCATCCCTGTCTTTCCACAGCAAGTTGTAATCCTCCCCCGCAGTTAGTGTTGGTCAGGTCTACTAGAACATACCTACCCAAACAGTCACCATGTTTACAAATTTCTCAGCCGCTGGAGAAGTGGTCTTTTGGGCCGATGTTGAAGAGCGGCTGATGCTTTTTCGAGTTGCTGGCGGAATGCTGGCAAGAGTGCCACATGTGTTCCTCTGGACCATGGCCGGTGAAGGGTGTTGCCCTGGGGGCCTGGCCAGAATCTGGCTGGAATCCCCTGGCCAACAACAGGCCTTTCCTTCGTGTTGGGATTTACCCTTAGCCAACGTAGGACGTTGAATGGTGTGGTGGGATAGTTTGGACATTATGGGATATAATCAAGATGGCTGATGACCATTTTGATTGTATTTCAAGTCTTTAATAAACCAATCAATGTTTTCAGCATAATTTAGCCTCAAATCCTGAATTTCTGTCGGTCAATTATTGAACCCTGACACTTGGGATAGTGTCATACTGGTGAGTCGGCAGGACTGACTCATGGATGATGGGATTTTGCTGGATTGAGTGAATTTAATTTTGCACTTGATCGGCGGTTCTACTCGCCTACATGTACATGCCTACTTTGAGTTGTGTCTAATTTTTCAGTCATGTTTCCTCAGTGATTCTTAAAAAAAAGCTGACTCTTGATTTCTTCACAAGTTGAGCCATGTGATATAAGCCTATTTTAATTGAACTTTTATTTACAACTTACTGATTGGACATAACCACTTCGTCCACTCTTGAACTGGTTTATCCTCATGGCTACTGTCAACTCAATGCTGTGTCAGGTTGTATCGATTTCATTGGTGCAAATAATTTCCCTTAATCATATGGATTGGGGAATCAAGTCAAAATGACTAATTGCTAAGCATACCTCAGCCGTTTTACGGCAGAGTACCGGTATATTAATATGATGTTAATTCTGTGAAAACCAAACAGGAACGTGTTGGGGCTCTGTGTGATTTGCCGCAGCTGATCGAAGATGCCCCTAGCACACAACAAGGCTTTGGTGCATCAGACCTTGCTCGTATCATACAAGAACTGGAAGTCAATCATCGACTAGAAACAGATAGACTCTGTAAGTCGTTGGTGGATGCTGTGAAAGAGGCCACTCTTAAGCCTCCAGTGATTCAAGTGAGCCCCAAATTGCTGGATTTTCATAAACTCAGCTTAGATGACGACATCTGTTGTTACTTTGACACGTTCAAGAGACTGGCTGCCGCAGTAACAAAACCAACAGCAAATTGGCTGAGACTGCTCGAGACTTACCTCATTTCAGTTTTGAATGTGATATTATTTATTCATCGCCCAGATTATGCTTCTATCAAGGTCCCAATTGGCTCTTAAATTCATCATCCAGTTACCTTTCAGGACCCCTTTTCTTCCCCTTTCAGGAAACAACATTTTTGTTAGTACATTAGCTCTAAAGTCTGAAGGTCCAAATTCCTGCAAGTGGGACTTTCACTAAGCTGCTGTTCTGCAAAGATTGAATGTTGGCTCTTTTAGGTAAGTCAAGTTTATTCCAAATAGATTAGATAAATTGTTAGCTTAGAAAAGTGTGTTGGTAGTCATTTGCTATGATGTCTTTTTGAACCTTTGCCAAGTTTTAATGTCAAGAACTTTGTAAGTTTAATATACTGTACATAGTAGGAAAAATGTTCTGGTACATTTTGCTGTGGCTTTAGGCAAAGTGACATACAGTCCCTCATCAAGTTTTTTTAATATTACTGAATGCAGAACGTACATGCGTCTTTGTTGAGAGATCTCCAGCATTTAGCTCATTGCTGGTACCAGGTGCATTCTCCTAAAAGCCTTTGGCATTTGTTTGACGATTTGTTTTTCTTATGATTGCCTTTTATTAGCTACATGTAGAGAACTGCTTTATGGAATATTTGAAAGTTTGCTTCGACTTGGATTGTCAAAACTTGCCCAGAGATTTCGAACTATTGTCCGACGACTTGGACTGCAGAGTTTTTCTTTGTTTATGAGCATTGTCATTGAAAAGTCGAAATTCTTAGCTTGAATCAGTACATGTGGTTAATTCAAAGCTGAGAGGCCTTTGAGCCAGTCTAGCTTTGGCCTGCACTTGCATTTTTATGTGAATGTCTGGTCATATGGCACCATGAAGCATATTCGATGCCGAGATAGATTTGTTCACTTTGGGGGGTAAACCTTTGTTTTTCCACATATCAAATTTATGGGTGTGTATACATGTACATGTATTTAAGTCCGTGTTTGCATTAGAATTCTTAAACGTACATGTAAAAATAAGTGTGTTAATTACGGGAAAGCAGAGTTCACCTTTTTTTTTAGTCCACTTTGGAGCAGTTAGAACATGTGGTAATGAGGCACAGACCACCATGTTTGGCTCTTTTAGATAGAGACATCTGACTGAACTCTCTACTGGGGATAGCCAGAAGGGGACTCCGGTGGTTTCTCCACCCGCTCCCGTGGCATCTTGATGCTTGTATGCCAGTCATCGCCTGGTCCGGGGTCATCAAGGAGTGCCTGGTCCTCCATCCAATTACTGCCCAGTGTCGCCCTAATGCCAGCCATTATGCAACACCAAGCATGCTAGCCGCTTCGTGATACCCAATGTGCCAGCCGGCCCACCTGTGACATCAAGCGCCAGCCATTTTGTGACATCAAATCCGCAAGTACTTGTACAATCCTTTGAACTCTTTCCCTGTGAAAATGCCAAGCTGGGTTTCCGCCGGAACATCATCACATGACAATGATCCTTGTTGTCACCAGCAGTTCAAGTCTGATTCCAAGAAGAGAGATGAGATCTTTGAGGGTTTCACTTATTGACTACAGCTTAACTTTCACAAATGGCTTGAGATATATGTACATATGTACAGGAGCAGACAGAAACCCAAGAAATGAAATGCTGCTTGAACTTGATCCTGATCAATCAATTCCTGTCCACAGTAACAGATGATACACTGGTTAAAGTTAAGAGAACTGAAGTTGACATTGGTCACTGAATTGGGTAGAAGAGCTGATGAGTTGTTACTACATGTACATCACCATGCGAGCTATAGACATGGAGATACCAGATAAAACCTGGCTACCTCTCCATCATCGATGAAAGTCTTCAAACCTGCCAGCTGTGCCAAGAGACAATACTCGCAGCCCACTCCCCCTCCAACAAAACCACTTACAAATCAGACCCAGCCAGGACAATTCACAACCGTTTGCTACAAATGCAAAGCGACTGGACAAAATGCACCAGTTTCCTGATGTGATCTCTCATAAACATTTGCAAGTCTTTTCATTCTCTCTGGACTGGTTTCCTTCATTTCCAACATGTTAGTAGAGCCAATGTAAATGGCAACCAACAAAAACATGACTGTTACCCCTGTGCCCGGAGCACTGTGCCACTTGCACATGTGGCCAAGCAGAGCACGACTAGTCTGCGCTGAGCACAGCAAGGCACTTATTGACTGATTTTATTCTTCAAATGTTGCCGTATAAGCAGCCCAGAGTATAAGCCACAGGGACATTTTCAGTGTGAGAATCACTGTGTAAGCCGTGGCTTGTATTCGTACAATTACGGTATATTTAAAATATGTATTTGTTATTTAAAAAAACATCACCATCGAGCAGAACTCGGAAGCAAGCGGGGGGTTAGTTCAAGCCCCTGTATCCCCCCCCCGCCTCCCGGTCTGGACAAAATGTTTAAGGTACAGTTGAAAAACTTCCTGAGCTTTCTGCTCGCATACTTACTCTGACTGTATAATAAATGGCACAGCCCAGGAGAGCACACTCTTCTGTTGTCTGACAACAAATAAGACAGGATAATTTGTATCTGCATTCCGGCTGCTTGTTGTTATACGGATGGCCTTGGACTGTTGTAACAAAATAAAAAAAAAAGGTTATTAACCACTTAGTGTCGGTTCCCAGTACCAGAGACCTTGACACTGTAACATGGCCGGGTGCCTGAAATTGGACAAAAGCCTGGGCCTTGTAACAAAAGATCGTACTTGGAACAAAAGAATGAGCTGCAGGGAATTGCCAATCAAATTTTGTATGCTGTCAGCACAGAGTGCTGACATTAGCGGAGGAAATCTGTCATTGTTTTGAAACAGTACACCATTGATTGCATCGCTCAGCACCCGCAGATTATCTGCGGGAAAAAAGCATGCCAGCACTCCAGGGATGAAGATGAGTGATCCAATACTGCAACATGCCAATCTGGCCACATTTGTAAAGACACCACCACCATTCAGCAATGCACTAGGCTAGGGTAATTTCGGGAACAAAGGATGTAGGCTCTCTTTACTGGGCAGCAGGCCTGGCTGCAATACTCTGGCATCAATGGAGGTTGCTTGTCAGATTAGAGTAGCTACTAGAAAGTCATTTGTGTGGGTGTAAGCATCTGGTAATTTTGAATGTGCCCCCCCCCAGCTCAGCTTTCTCATACCTGATTAATATTCCCATGGAAGTACTTAGTATCAGAACAGTGTGAAGTTTCTATTCAATATAACATGGGATTTTGTCTTTATTTGAAGTTCATACCTTACTATACATGTACATGTACAAGTGTTGGCTTGCACGAATTGTGCACATGTGACAGAGGCAATTTTCAGTTGTATCTTACAGTACATGTATACAAGAGTGTTAAAAGGTATGTTGTTAAGGTGACATCCCAAGTTACATTTATCTTGCATCATCCTTTGTGAGATTTAAGTTGTGCCCTCTGGTTTTAGCCAGGAAGCCCCCTTACTTTGTATGCAAATTATGGCCACGACATGGCCTGACAAAGACCAATTCCGGCTCAGGATCTGTCCACAGTAAACACTTCACACACTAAAATTTACAGATGGCCACCAACCGAAAATTCAGGGGAACCCCAAGGATTTGTTTGGTTAGAATACATGTTGCTCCAATACAGATGAAAATAACACCGATCAGGCCTCAAAATAGTACTAGCCCAGTGTACAAATTCTAGTGAAAAATGCTCCGGGCTACCTCAACTTGGTTCCTTGGTTGCCCGGTGGGCTAGTGAAAAATTCAGAATAAGCGTACCTGTTAAAACTTAGACCAGAATATATAATGCTCATCGTGATAATAAATTCAAGATCGCAAAAACTGAGTTGTTGTGGAGGTGTTTTTTACTTGTGTTTTTGAAATGTGATGGTCGCACGATGGCAATAAGCGACCGTGAACACCATGAACAGAGTAGACTGGTGGGTTGTAGTACTGGTACAGCATAGCACATGGTATGGCGCGAAACCGCACGTGCACACTATTCTCGTTCACTGTTTAGGCCACTTCTGCTTCCGACTACATGCCTCTCTAAAATAGTATCAATAGGTCGGAATTTTGTTGGGTCATTTTTTTGTTCTGATATAATAGCCTGAATGGGGATGAAAGCTTTCAAATATGGTCTCAAACAGTGATAAAAACATGTCTTGATATTTGTAAAATTTCTGCAGTCAACAGATCACAAGAATTATGGACAAATCACACAATGTCAGTCAGGTCAGTCCGATTATACAAACCGATTATACAAACCTTTAAAAACTCAAAATGACTAAAATCACACAAACAAAAAGAATAGCTAACAACAGAATAAAATGTTTTTAAAAATAAAAGGAGTCGCGGAGCAAAGCTTTCAAGGTCTTAACGCGAGCGATGCATGAGGGGAACCTCTGCTTTCTGCTGTTGCATCAAACAAGTACATGTAGGTGTATTAGAAATCATTGTTTTATTCATTTGAATCATATTTGTTAATATGATTCAATATTTACTAACAAGTTAAAGGATGTACATCAAATACTAATTCACTGCGTATACTTTATCTTACGGTATATGTAGGCCTGCAGAACATGTACATTGCCGTAGTGTACATGCATACATGTAACAATGCTTGCTGGTGCATGACGCCAGGCTTGCGCTCTATGAATAGGATAAGTGTCAACACATATAAAACAAGGTTTACATGTACCATAAGACAAGGTTTTTTTGAGAGTCCCTTCGAACTTGTATTAAGCGTGTTTGACTGTACTTTTGAAAACCTTGATGGTGAATATGCTGTAGTTCCTGTACTTTTTTGCGGACACTTTCCCCAGACTGCAGCACTAGGCTTGTACACACGTGTGTTCTGCAAGATGAGAAAATAACATGTATTTTGCTGTTGGATCTCACATACTGGTTGAACATGCACTACCGGTATCTCAGGCCTAATGAATATTTATTATAACCTCTTTATTGTTTTTACAATTTGTAGGCCTTAATTGTAAAAAACCCACACGGTCACTTTATTTGAATATTTGTTGATAGAATGAAATGAAAGAAAACACCTACATTGAATTACTGTTCTTAGAAAAGTATTAATTTAGATGTCTAACATGCATGCAGGAATTGAATATTTTCATGGAAAAAATAAGCTATGCAACATATCAACTCATCCCTCCCAATGTGAAGGCAAAACTATTTGCCAGGCAGTGACAAAATGATATAAGGAAGATGTCTGTTCTAAGCATCGATAGTTTTCCCTGCATGCTCAGTTGTCAGTGGAGTTACGTGACTTCAGTCATACACGAACAGCAACTTGAAACATTGTAATCTAAAATTTCAAAAGACACTGTAATGAACATTAATTGCAGGCCCATCAAAAGGTATAAAAAAGGGGGGGCACCAGTGTTTTCCATCCATAGGTGATTAATTTTTGTGAAGGCACGGCATGGGGTTTGGGGACTGCTTAAGGGCCCCAGGAAATTTTGGGGTCTAGATGCTCTCTGGTGCAATCTTGGGGACTTTCCGGGCCACCTGCTTCAGTAATTTGACCCCAAATCTGCTAATTTACAAAGTGAAATAATAACAAGAATTTTCAGCAAAACCATAAGCCATACTGTACCATAAAACCTGTTTCATAGCACAACTTTACTGATTCAGCTAATGTGTCGTGGCTGGTGGCCTTCAATTGAGGCTTTTGCAAAATAAATTAAAGGTTTTCAGATATAAAAAGGAATAAGATGTTTGGATCGATCAGAGAAGGTATGATCTTCCATTTGGCAGTTTGTTTTGGAATAAAGTAATCATAATTTTGAGAAAACAGCAAGATTCCCAACAAAAAACTGGCCCCCCCACTTTTCAATCCAAAAATCACGATAGCATACCAGGTGACCCCATGACGTCATCGGCAGAACATAATCGCCAGTGTGCGATCGCGTACTTCAACCTTTCACTGTCCATTCGTTGTTTCTTTTAGATCATTGTATCGATGTGCTCGCCGTCCAAAATACTTGCTTAGCTATTTTTTCTGTTGATATGCCAGCACGATGTGTCGTTGGTGTTTGCAGCAACACCACCAGTGAAGATATAAGGCTGCACAAGTTCCCAAAAGATGAGAATTTGGATGACGAAAGTCCAATTCACAAGGGCAAAGTGGTCGGGGCCATCTCCAAGAAGTGTAATATGCAGTGCTCACTTTGACAAGAGGGATTTTGAGACTGCGCTCCACTGGAAATTTGGCATGAAGAGAGCAAGAAAGCTGAAGGTAAATGCCACACCCACCAAGAATAAGCCAAGAAACCCCTCTACAGAAGTTGAGAAATGGAGGAGGGAAACTTCAGAGAAACGTGAAAAGAGACGGGTGAGTTGACGGCCTGTCCGGAATTTGGGCACGTTGCGATGCGTGCTCATGCATGTATGTACATGTAGGTACGTGTAGCCTAGCCTACATGTACCAGTACATGCAGTGAACACAGGTATTTGTATGCAAACATTATTCCTCCATGGCGGACATGGTGGAACTTTAAAATCGCCGCCAAGAAGTTGTAAATAAGTGCGCATTAATTCAATAATTGGTTATACCACGTCGGTAGCTGTAATACAGGCTTGCTTTAAAAAAATATTGGGCACCTAGCCTGGGACCAAGCTTGGCATAATTATGACATTAGTGACAATACGGACATGTAATAAGCATATGAATTATGGGCTAGGCTAAAATGTTTTACTTAAATTAAATTTAACCACAGTTACCAAACACGTGCCAAGTGTGGATAACCCACTGTTACTGTTCATTTATTCATCATCAGATCTTGTTCATGGTCCATGACTGAGTTATTACTGTTGCCCTGCTTTTGCTATTGTGGAGCTGTTTCGGCTACTATGCTTGGCTGAACCTTATCCCCATACACTCAATTATCCATCTTGAGCTCAATTATAGAAAACAGGGCCACTCCACTAGTCTTGTGTTGTATGTATGTGGCTTTGGCATGTTGGGCGGATGTTTTTCCAAAGGGACAGTGAAGTCTGCGTATCACTTGGCCTGCATTCCTAACTTGGACTAGCTTTTTAATTTTTTCTCCCCCCCCCAAAAAAATATTGTGAATTGATTTTTTAACAAAATCATTTTTTTAAATTGAGGAAGTTTGTCAATTTTATTTTTGTTTTTCAGAACAAGCACAACTTGGGCTCATCTACCCACATGGTGCCAATGAGGTCAAGATGCCAGATGAAGACTGTGGGCACACAGACTTTACTTCAATTCCCTTCACGAGGTTAAACTAGGAGAAAGGAGGAAGATGCAGAGGTTGAAAAAAGTTGTTTCCTCCACGGTCCATTCCACTCAACTCATGGAAAAACGAATGATGCCATGCGCTGACATCCCATCATTACAGCCTAAATGCCTGTGAATAACAGAGGGCGCTACCATGCTTTCACGGGACTGATTTTGGCACTAACACTATCAAAGAAGCAGCCCTAACTGATTTCCATTTGGCAAGATCAGATATAACAATCGATTTGGGGAAATCAAGAGGTGTCTGTATATACATTAATGACAAAAATGGTGTTGTGACTGGTTAATCATGGAGAAACTGTGGCTTCGCGTGTGAAACGTAAGAATAAATTGTTGAAACAATGAAAGAAAAATCAGGGGTAACCATTTTGCTTGGTTAAGTGTTTGAGCCACATGTCCCAAGAATGATGAAAATTCCTGATTTAAAAAAAAAAGTAAGTCAACGTTTACTGCTTTTATTCTTTTTTCTTTCTAATGATATAATGCTGTATGCCAATATTTTACTTCATATAGCTATGCAAGTGACAGAGCGCACAAGAAGCCAAAGCATGTTGGCTAAGGAACCCATGACTTCCACTGGTGTCATGTGCAAGCTGTTAGATGATGGCCCTGATGAGGAGAGTAGCAGCTCTGACGAG